AAAATCAATCTTCTTGAAATTAATTAAACCCATGAATTTTATATCCTACATTTTAAAAGAACACCTCTAGTCTTCTTTCCATTTCCAGATATGAAAGTCAACAAGACTACAAAGTTTTCTACTTCTCAATATACACTAAACAAACTGTACATTTCACTGAACTTTACTCATTCATGTTTAAACAATTACAATAAAATTACAGCTCTTTCCCTTGAAAGAATATTTGCTTCTGAACAGTAAAATGACATGCCTGCAAATATATCCTGTGTCACTTACTAAAAAGTATACGAAAAGGTGTCTTATTTATAAGAATAGAGTTGAAGTACAAACATAATTCATTAATTAATGCAGATGTATTATTTACCAATCTGAATGATCGGAGAACGGACAATCCTTCCACGTTTGACAAAAAAAGCTCCGCCAAACTAAGAGTAACTATAAAACTATCAAAAATATTCCAACCAACTTGGAAATAATAAAAAGGATGCATGGCAATTATCTTGAGAACCATTTCTGCTGCAAAAATTCCAGTAAAAACCTGAAGAAAAAAATGTTACTGTTATTTTATGAATGAATATGAAGAAGCTGAACCCGCGGAGAAGGAACAACTGAAGTAAGAAGTAACATCCCTCTTACAGAAGGACGCCACAAAGCAAAAATTATTACAAGCTGAACCCCACAGAGAAGGCAAGTAGCAACATCAAAATGAGCTGTAGCATAAATATGTAACATCAGTGAAAGCTAAGATACATTTAGTGTCTACTGAAAAATAAGTTACTCCCTAACAGGCCTCCCATTTGCTCCTTCTATCAGCCATCCATCTAATTAAATCTAATTAAAGGAACTTCCCCCAGCAAGATAATACACTCGCTCTTGTCAGAATGGAAGCTTTAACAGAGGCGTGTGGGAAAACATGAATTGGTCATAAACTGGAGTGATGTACCATTAATGAAGTCTATATAAGCACTCACAATTAAGTTTATCTTCTCTGACGGCCAAAAAAAAGGTGCCAAGGTTTGCCTAAGCAAAACTCCTTCCTGACCCTGAATACCTCTGATATCTTCAGAAGCAGCGGGCAAACACCACCTCTGAAATAAGTTCACTGTATTTACTGTAGATGTATAATCACCAGCATCTACAAAACTGCATAAATTACTATCTTTCATGAGAAAGATGAAAAAAATTCAAAAAAATTCAAGAGCATTTTAGTCTCTAAAATGTAGAGCTAGAGTCCAAATTGGAAGAAAGCAACTGCTGAAACCATATCAGTGTCATACTGGCTGACTGGGAGCACACAAAAATTCTTGGCATTAAGGAACACTCACACATACTAAGCTACTCCATTACATAGGAAAGGTAGGAATGGGAGTTTCCTGGGTAAAACATACAGACATGACCCCAAGACAGCTCTCTGAAACAGCTATTGATCCTCATCTGTCTTCCCTATCTTTTTCCTCAAAGACATCCTGCATATATTTCAAACAGCAACATGAGATATTTACTTTCTATAGATAATGGTCTCTAATTCCAGGTTAAGGTGAAAACAGTGATTGGATAAAAATATCAGTATACAATGTAAATGCTGATACTTTAACTCTTTAAGTCTGAGTATGTTACCAAAGTGTATTAGAATGTCACGTATTCTAATAACCAAATTGTTTTATTATTTTTCTAGATCATAATCACCAGAATAAGGACTTAGAATAAGCATAGATTAAGAAGTATAGCATATCTGTATTACTGCTGCTATAAACCAAGTAAAGCTATGTCACCAAACCCGACCCACAGCCTGTGTCCACCATGGAACAAAACCCGACTGTATCAACAGATACTCTTAGAATAAGTCACACATTCTTTGCCTTCCAAATTGTTACAGTCCAATCAAATAAATGGTCTTCTCAGAAATAGAAATTCAACTCACAGAAATAGCAGTGAAAAATAATAATCCAATATAGCATTCCACACTTTTTGTGTTATCAATGATACTTACACTAAAAAGGATATTTGACTCCTACTTATTTTTGCAATACTAAACAAAAGCATGTCAGATTTCTTTCAGTTTTATGTAATTCAAACTCTACCTGTTGGAAACTCCATTGACGTTGTAATGCAGAAGTCAAACTTCAAGATACAACATCTCTCAAATACTCTTATATACAACATATCCCAAACAGTATTTTTAGACTATTTTTAGTACAATTAAGCCTTTAACATTATTTTATGGGATGCCAAAATTATAAAAGCAATTCTATGCCAAAGAGAAACCAGGTTCCAACTACATAAAATTATATATATTGAAGGAACTTACCAGATTTCCTACTGAAAGTACAGCGTCAAAATGTCCAGTCATTGGATAATGTTCCATGGCCATAAATAGTGTGTTTAAAACTATGCAAACAGTGACAGCCAGATCAACAAATGGATCCATTACAATAAATTCAACTACACTCTTGACTTTTAACCAGGGCTCACAACAGTCCCAAATTAAGAAAGTGTGGGCAAACTTATCCCAGCAAGGGGGACATTTTTGTCTGGATCCTTCAAGTTCTGGAGAAAAAGAGAAATTTATAGTGAACAAGTTCTGGAGAATGTGAAGGTAATTTTTTATTTTTCAGGTTTTAATCTTTACA